GGACGCGAGAGAGAGATCAGATCAGCTGCTGAGTCTGACGGAGACAGGCAGCTCTGCATGATCACCTGATGCTCCGCCCTCTGTTTAGCGAGCTGACCGGACAGCGCGAAATGCATATGAAGTGCCATGAACGCAATAAATCCTACCCTCGTGGGGGCGGGCTCATGTGATTGGCTTAGACTGGAGGAGACATCTGATTGGCTATAGATGAGAGAAATTACAAGTACGAATCGGGCGAGCGTCAGGGGAGTCTCAAAAAACCCACACACGAATGCACAGCGATCCGTGCACAGAAAGCAGTTTGTGTTTGCAGGTTCAGGGGATTTAAACGGAAAACAAATATGTGTGGATCAAAAATACATATGTAAAACTTTTTTCTGTGTTTGGATTTTATTTGCATGTATATGAAACGGAACACATTTGTGTGTGCATTGAAAAACACAAGTGTGGATGCGGAAATACAAGTGTGAATCCTTCTGTGTGCATGTGTGTATTATGAGACTGTTCTGAGCCCATAGGTAAAACATGTTAGACAGGTCTTCCTTTTATAAACAAACTTTTTTTTGTATACAAACCACTACTCCTTAGTTAAAAATAGTCAGGGTTTATATATTCCACATTTCTACTTCCAGGTATTACTCACTCCACAAAAATTAAGTGTTTTGTCAACTTTTGAATCATTACTTATTCTACCTTTTTTGTTATCATAGCTTTTTTACCCCCTTATATTCCTTGAACTGTTGGTTTTATGCTGCATGTGTGCAAATAGCTTTGGTTTGATATTTGATTGGATTCAATTAATTAATGTTTAAGTTGAGAAACATTGTAATCGTTGCACAGCACTTCTTTTAACCTAAATGTAATTGATTTTTCTGTTGAAATGTATAATGTGTGCCATGTTGTGAAAGCACTATATGCTGCACCTAGTGTATACAAATACAGCCTAATTATTAATATTATGTTTCGGAAATGTAACACAAATAAAGAGAAAGTGCCTCGTGGAAATGTGGATTTTTTTTTTTTAATATATTTTTAAATATAAATACAGAAAATATATATTATAAAGAAAATACAGAAACCTTCTTCTGGCTCCGTGGATATCGGTATTGCAGTCAGGTCATTAATAACGTAATCAAACGTCTTTCCTTCCTGCACATACTTCCTCAACACAGGGACACAGTCCTCAACTAGTATCTGTCAAACAGGAGACAAAGAGAGCACACTTTACTTCATTAGAAAAATATGCTTGATACATAACATACATGAGTTCAGTTCAATCTCAGGTTCTCCTTATCCTGTTTATCTAACCCTAACCCTGATAACATGATGCAGTTTTACGAAGGATGGTGGAAGACAGGTTAGAAGAACAATCCAAATAAGTAAACATGGATGGAAACAATGCTGTGTTTAAAACACTCAATCTGCTATCAAAATTGTTTACAGTCGGATGATATATTAGGTGCACCGATGTTAAAGAGGCCGTATTGTGTTTTTCCCTTTCTTGTATTGTGTATAGGTTGTTGTGGATGTAAATGGTCTGCAAAGGCTAACATCCTAAAGTTTGCTCCAGAGAGTTTCTCTCCCACACACTTTGTTTACTTCAGTAACAGAATGGCATCACTATGGAACACTTGCACTTATATTGGCTAGCGCTCCAACCGCTCCAACACATTGCATGTGATATGCTAAAGGGGCGGGGCATCGCTAAGCACTTCACCAATCACAACAGAGCCGGCCAGCTAACCAATCAGAGCAGACTGGGCTCTGGTTTCAGACAGAGGGTGAAAAGAGGTTCTGCAACACAGGCAGTATGAGAAAAATAAAGACTTTTTTGAACATTAAAGCCAAAACCTGAAAATGAGCATAGCATGTCCTCTTTCAGCTCAGTGAGAGGCAAACATCAGATGGCAGCACTCACTTGGTAACAGTCTCCCTCCAGGCTGTCGAGGATATTGCCACAAGTTCGTCTCATATACTTTTTGCACGCGTCTATCACCTTCTGGTCAATGTGCACACTTTGTAAAGGAAATATCATTCAAGTGCAGATGAACAATACAATGAACAACACCAAATAGAAAACTGGCTTTTTATGTGATCGAGTTTAGAGACTGATTAAAGTCGCTGTGAGAGAAACAGAGTCACAACACAATGATACAAAAAGGATATATCCAACATGGTGATCATCTTTGGCTTCTGTTTGACCATCTCAAAAAGGATGCCTCCATCACCTCCTCCTAATATCAGCACCTCTTTTCCAGCATAGCTCTCTCTTCCGTTACCCATGATGGCCTGGGTGTAGGTCAAATCGCTCTCTGCCAAGTCTGCAAGGAACACAGATTATTTACACTGATGCAAATAGGACCTGGTACATTTGAATCAATCGACACGAATGGTGTACTTAATAATAATTTCAATAAGTTAAAGGAGTCAATCTGGATCTGTTTTTTTGAGAGTGACAGACATGCCAGGCACTGTATAAACTTACTTATGTCATCATCAAGTATCAGGACATTCCCATACTGCTGTGAGTGCAATATCTTAATGTTTTGGTATGGAGAATCTTCTTCATACACCAGCTGGTCCATGTCGTACTCCAACAGTCTGTCGTCAGTCGCGGGCCAGTATCGGTCCACCTCTGCTCCTCGTACGAGGGCCGGGAGCCTTGGGAAGAAGGGTGAGCGGTGAAATAACCAACACTACTTCACCGTGAATATATGCTATTGCTTTTTAACTAAATTAGCAAAGCGGCATAGCCTTACCTTTTAATCCGTGTAATATTGCCATTTAGGATCATCTTTAGCTTTGTTTCCAGTGCATTTAAAAGCTATGGAGAAAAAGAAAATGTCAACTTTTAGGAAAATGTATGGGCAGCACTCTAACACCAAAACACAGTTAATAGTATTTCCTGGAAACCAAGGTTTATAGTATAAACTTGCTTTTCTGCATAGCTATTAAGATGTGAATCTACGTTTTACGAGTGATAACGTTATTACATCCCCTAGCTCAAAAGTTGCAAACCTCACATGACATGCTGCATTGTGGGACTTCTTGTGTGTGAAGTATTACGCAATGTTTTTTGTTCATTTTTTCCACCTACATTGTCTAGTTGTGCAATGTTATCCCCTTCATAACACTGAAGATCAACGGTGACCAGCCCGTGGGAGTGCACACGCAGAATAGCAAGCCTGAAAAGTAACAGAATAAAGTTAGAACAAAGCCGTTAAGTGAGAAGAACATTACATTTAGCTAAATTGATTACTAACTCAGGGCTGTCCCGGACTGAGCATTTACATAAAGAGAGCCACAAACAGCTGCTTCTGTTGCCTCCCCAAGTTCATTTTAAACAGAATCGTTCATAAATTGAAATTATATTCAGTGCTATGATGAGAATGTACTGATTAATAAATGTTTTCTTTGACTGTGTAGACTTTTTTAAAATTGTTATTTGTAATTAAACAGGATAAATATATCATGATTCATTTAAAGCTATTCTAGATCAAATCAGAAATGAAGGACCCGCATATTGCCCAACTGCAATGACCCTTCGCTACATGATTACATTTCTAAGCCACTCCAACAATTCAGGGTCATCCCTAACGAAAATCTATATTTGAACAAACCAACACCCTGATGTGTTGAAAGGTTTTTTGTTTCCTCTTTTGCAAAGGACATTGAATGAGGACACGTTTTCACAGTGGAAGCATCGATACATCCACTTAACCAGATCTGCTGACCATCAGTGGGCTCAGTATGCCAAATAGAAAAACTGGGGAAACTAAAAACTACATATCTCTATATATGTAGGATAGATTTACAAATACAAACAAAGCCTAGCCCAATAATTCCACTTGTTCATTTACAAATGGTAAGCTAAATATAAGCATCCCCGGATGATATTTACAATGAAACTACAGGTTCCATGTGGTAGTAATAAAATCTAATATTTTGTAATGACAACTCCTGCATTTATGCCGCAGACACAAGGAAAACACAAAGCTTTTGTTTGGCAGAAAACGCTGTTCCTTACCGGCCATTCTTGCCTACAAAAGTACCGAGGTATCCATGTCCATTTGTTTCATGGACAGTCTCGGTCATTTCCTGCTCATGAAATATGGACAGTAGGTGAGGGACTGTCGTAGCAGAGTCAACTGGGAAAAGAGATGAAGAACAATAAAAAAACAAACAATAATTGACTCCCTTTAAACATGTTAATTAGTGGTAAAAGAAGTACAGAGATCCTTTATTAAATGCTTTATAACAATGCCATTCATAGTAATACTCAAGTAAAAGTATTACTCAAGTAAAGTATTATTAACAAAATAGTTCTATGGATCAACTAAAAGTACAACTTATCTGGTAAGAATAACAATGACAGTGTTCTATAATACTTAACATTGCTGGATAATCCCTTATTTATGGTTGTTTAATATATTGTAAAAACATCAGAAGGAAAGTCTACTTCATTTTCAAATCAAGAACTACTAAAATAATTAGATTTATATTGCGATAGATGAAGCTGTTAGATTGGGCATGTTGTGTTCTAACAGTTTTGTATATTTTATTTACGAAGACATTAAAAATACTGCTTTTATTTTAAATAAGTATTAATATTTTTGCAATGTGCCATCATGTGATTCAAAACCCAATTATAGAAAAACATGTTTATTTCCATAGAGTCCCACACATTATTATTGGTGACTTAGGTAACTTTCCCTGGAAGTGCTATTTAAAGGCAAACTAGGTTAATGCTCGTCTGACTGCGGTTTAAGAGCTCGGCACACCTCTCCTGTTCGGTATTATCACACTGCTCACCTTTACATAGTTTTAGATCAACACATAAAAACTACAAAAATGGGTGAAAATGCGCCACTTCCTGTGCGACAGAGCTGACTTGAGCAGCATACTTTATTCATACTGTTAGCCAGAGGGGCTTCTATTCAGAGACTGAATAAAACTAACGTCTAACCTATGCGTCTAACACACCACCATGCATATGACATTAAGATTCAATGTTTAACCTATAATAACGTTAAGCTTTAACCCCCACTTGTCAAATAGTGTTTATGTATATGCCAGTATCAGCCTCGTTTCATCAAAATCAATACCGCGTTTCTGTTTTGAAGGGCAGTGATAGACTAGCAGGTATTAGCATGGTAGCCAGCGAGCTAGCATGCAGCCCTGATGCACTGAATGTAACCAGAATGAATTGACTGCATTAAGCCGCTAATCGCACTCGTTTTACCTGCCGTTGAGAGCTTGAAGTCGAGGGTATAATGTCGCAGAGCCATGTCTGAGTGCAACCGTCATCCATGCCTGGGAATAGACAGGCTGCGAGTATTTATCTGCAGAGACAGAGGGAGGGCCCTGTTACCGCTGCTGCTGCTATCACTGCCCACTGCACAGCCTGCGGGCGATGCGGCGAGAGCAAAGAGTCAGGAAGCCACAAGATAGAAATCCTCCGCCGGTGTGTTTGGACTGGCGCACAAAGTGAAAACAAGTGAAAGCTATCTCTCTTTTATCATTATTTATATCCACGGTTTAACATTAACTAATTTAATATCAATTAAATAAAGGGAACCAAGAGCCAGTCATGATTGGTATTTTATTTTAAATACAGTTCAGAAACATTTTGAAAGTGAGCACATGTTAAACATTTTATTGCTTTCAAGTTTTTTAACCCTTTGGTATGATGTTGCCTCCAGACCCTGTTTGCCGCCTTTCCCACAAGGATCAGCTCAGCCATTTCTCTCTAAGAAATGTGTCTAAAAACGTAATTTCCTTCTGAAAAAAAATGTATTCACAATAACAGGTGAGTAAACCTTAATTTATAATAGTTTCATTTACTTAATTTGCTAATTAGGTAATGGAAACTTGTTAAAATGCAAATGTTGCCTGGCAACATCGTACCATTATGGTCAATTGTAAATGTTGCCTTGAGGCAACACCGTACCATTATGGATTCACCATGACATTGTGGTATTGTGTGTTTAGGTATACACTGTTAAAAAGCATATCAGTCATCATAGATCTCTACAATTTAACCAAGACACATTTGATGTTAAAGCCAACCCAACGATCTCTGTGCAAAGATGGGATAAGAAAAAGAAAGAAACATTGCAGGTTACCTGCAAGTGTTGTGCATGCAAGGAAGCACAAGATTGTGTTGCACAAGATGGATTTCACACTAGTGAATGTGTGGCTCTTGTACCGCAGGGACTGCAAGGATTGCGAGATCCCCAAGAAAGAAGTGTACACCCTGCTGAAATTCAAAGCTGAAGTTGCCTTTGCAACGAGAGGAAAGTCTTGAAAAAGAGGGGGAGACCATCTCATAATGTTGACAGAAACCTGGCTGAGAAGAAGCACAGAGGTTCTTCCTCATCAGTGCCATAAACACCTGTGCATCAAGACCACACTTACCATTGGCCTGTGCGGGTGGAGAAAAAGGGCCGGTGCAAATACCATGGCTGTAAGGGTGAAAGTGCAGTGATCAAAGTGTGTCACGTACCTGTGCTTCACTCCTGACAATAACTGCTTCATGAACTTCCACAAGCACTGAGTCTATTTTGTCAAATGGCTCAATAAAGTTTGCTGAAAGATGCCTAGGCTCTTCGCGTATTTATTCCTAAAGGTTGTTTCACAATGGTACAATGTTGCCTGCAGGCAACATTCACACATATAATCTTGTTAAAATATAAAAAATAACGATTTTCACATTTTAATTGTCATGCAATTTGACTTGTTGAGGCTATTTCGTATTTTTAAATAAATGTTGTTCAAATTTGAAACAATAACTTTTTTTTTTTTCCACAAATGGCATCATAGTGCGTACCATAGAGGGTTAAGTTTCAAGGCTTTTATTGTCATGTGTGCATAGCTACAGTGTAGTCACACGCTCCCTCCAACAGTGCAACACAATAAAACAGATAAAATAGTACAATACAATACAATACAATATAAAAGAGACTTTCACTTTTCATCTTGGTACATTTGATCCAAAACTAGAGGAACATGTTTGGCAACAGCAGTTTTTTGACAATAGATCCTTGATATTTTATTTTCTTCAAATGGTTGCTTCAGTTTCTCAATTATGAACACCAGACTTCTCGGGTGGACGCATCACCTTCCAAATAATAGGGCAAATGTCTGTGTTGTACAAAAAAAGAGTGGGAAAGAGATAATAACACAGCTTTCAGGTGAACACACCTTTTAGCCTTGAGGGACAGGAGGATGGGTGCATCAGAAACACATGTGTTTACATGTTATTGCAATTGGGGGAAACCCTCAATTAAAACATAGTATTAAATGAAGAAAGTTTATATTAGCCGGATTTGAGGAAGTGCTAAGCCGCACACTACTATTACAGTTCACTGTTGACTGAGCTCAATCATCAGCATTACAAATGTTTACTGCTGCTGATGACACAGTAGATGTGTGGTATATTGTTGGCAAGCTATAAAGATTGCATTCACCTTGTTAAAGTCACTGTCAAGTTTTTTTTAATAGGAATGAAATAGGCTCAAATGAAGAAATTTGATAAAAGCCTGTGTCCACAATCAGAAGCTAGCTAAAATGAACATTTGTTGCAAATCTTTTTTCATCTATCCATGAGCAAAAGACTCACAACATTATGAAGAAAAAAGTATCTCATGTTGCAAAAACCTCCCAAATTTCATTTATATTATTTCAATTATATTGGATATTTTACACGCTGCAGAAGGAAACAGCCACTCATTGATCAGGGAAATAGTTGGAGTAATTCTGCCCCATTTTTATTTGTTCAATAGTGGCTAGGTATTACACATTGCTCCTTTTAAACTATCTTTATCGCTGTTGGTGTATGCTCCTACTTGTCCCATGCCAGAGACATTTGTGTTGGATGGCAGGTCAGTAGCTTTGGCGTCAAGATTGGGGGGCGAGCATGGGCCTAGCTAACCAGCAGAGGAAGCAGCAGCAGCACCTCCCATCAGCAGATAAATCTCCCTTAGTGCTCGTCGTTACTGAAACTGCCATGGCGCAGACACCCTGCTGAATTTGCACCTCCTTTGTAGTTTATTGAAAGGGGAGAATTCCTTCCTGTTGGGATTAAGTGGTTTAAAATAACACATTTGTTTGAGTAAACAGTTCAGTTTAATTTATCAGCAACTGTTAAAAGAGAATAAGCCGATACCCTGAACTCACCTTTCTCCTCTGGGAAACACAGTTCACAGGCCTTGGGGCGAAAGGTGAAGTTGGTGGATCTTTGTCATTGATATGCTCAGACACAAGATCTTGGAGAGAAATGTGTGGTAGTGGTGGCACCGCATGTCGCTTACAAGGACTAATAGTTGACGAAAGAGGTACAAGTGGTAAAATAATAATAATACTGTAAAGTAAAAATATGGGTGCAAAGTGTAACTTTACCGAGTCTCCAAGTGCAAATAAAGAATACCCTTTTTAAGTTAGCACATTTTTCAAGACAATTACATTTATGTCTTATTAACTCACCTTTTTCAGCATATTCAGCCATTGACTAAAAAGATGATGTTATAACATGATTTCATGCATCAATTCAAGAGCACAGGCTACCAATAAAACAATGAACTGGTTGGTTGCAGGAATGAGCATTGGCACCTGTCAGTCTAGCAAACTTCCTGCTACACAGTCGGGTATTGTTGTTAACTGTGTGATATGTCCTACTTAGAAATACTTTTCAACTGGGAAAATGTACTTCCTGGACTGTCGTCTTGTTGTTTTTACTCTTCAGTGTATAGCCACGATAGCTGGTTCCTAGTTTCAGGTCTTTAAACTAAACTAAGCTATGCTAAGCTAAGCAAACCGGCTGATCTCATCTGACAAAATGGGTTTGGATTAGCTAAATCTAAGAATTGGACATAATATATTTCTACTTGAACAAGGAAAAAATAATTATAAGTGAAGCAGAGAAGCAGATTGAATATTGACATTTTACTCAATATGAAATAGTGCTGTGATAAACAATTCTAACTATAACCACTTAACACCCAGAGTGTATTGATAGTATAACACATAGTCAGTGATCTCGGTGCAGTGGGAGCATG